CATCTCTCCAACCCCAAGATTTATTTTAATTTTAATTATGTGTATACATGTGGGCATGTTCACTGACTGCCAGAGAAAGCCAGAGGTGCCCAGGTAGTTGTGAACCACCAGATGTGGGTGTTAGGAACCTGCCAAGAGATTGGCAATGCTGCCTACAACAGTAGAAATTCTACACAGAAATTAGTGTACATTTTTTCCTCCAGAAAAATGACTTTGGGACTGGTGACCTGAGTTTGATCCTTGGGATTTGCGTGGTTAAAGGAGAGAGCCAACACACACGAACACATGATGGGCTGGCCAGCACGGCAGTTATCCTGTAGGAGTTGGGAAGTGACACCCTCAGCCTGTGACCCTTCCTTAATCTGCAGTGTAGAGGCACCTCCAGGGAGAGTCCTCCAAGATTGGGATTTGCCTGGGCGCCAAAGGCTGCTTTCTAAAAACTAGAGACTCCATCATAGAGCCTGTGAACGAAACGTCTTGTAGGAAGAGTGGCTGAAAGGGTGGCACTGTTGTTACAGGTTGTGGCCTTTGCGCTGTGCTCTCCTCTTGATTGGCCATTGCTGGCTGTGTCTCCAGTGTTCTGAGCAGCACCCCTGCAGTGGTTATGCTCTCTTTTGTTCATTTCCATTCATTTTTGTGGTGCTGAGGATTCCACGAAGGACCTCAAGCAATGATAGGAAAGTTCCTACCACGGAGCTGCACCACAGCCCTTATCTTTCTCTCTTCCTCTGAGTAGCAGTTCCTCTTCTCTCCCATTAAGGGTTCTTTTCTCCTGCATGGCCACAGCTTTGGATGGTCCCAAGACCTCCTTTCTCCTTGCTGCTCCTCCGCACCATCCTTCGTATGATTGGGACAGCCACAGAGCTACATTTTCTCTTTCATCAAATTCTCTCTCATGACTCCTGCACCCACGTACACGGACCTGAGGTTGTCACTGTCTCCTGGGGGGGGGGGGGGGCCCGGGGCCCCTTTTCCTTTTTTTTTTTTTTTGAAAATTCCTAAATTTTTT